CGCCATTGATTGTGATGCTTGAGCGTCATCACGATCATTCTTTAATCAATTGATTTAGATGCTTGAGAACGGCCTTAGACTAAGAGTACTCTCAATGTGTTTGGATAGAGTTCTAAAGAAAAAAAGAAACATAGTACTGTATATATATACAGTATATAAAAAAAAATGCTACCATGCTACTATCTTGCTACATTCTGAACTAGCATGCTTATACTATCGTGCTATGTTCATTATTGTGCTATGTTCTACTCTAAAGAAAAAAAGAAATGTTAGTAGTGTATATATAGATATCAGATAAAAAAAAAAAACATATTTTGCTATGTCTCAAACAGTTATACTTTATATTTTTACTATTGTGCTACGTTCCAGTCTAAAAAAAAAGAAACATTAATACTGTATATATATATATAGTATATAAAAAAAAATACTACATGCTACTATCTTGCTACATCCTGAACTATAATACTTTTACTATCATGCTACGTTTGTAATTGCACTATGTTCCATTCTAAAGAAAATATATACAGTATATATTAAAAAAAACTACTATGCTACTTTGCGAAATGTTAAAGAAAGATACAAACCCGAAAGAAGAATTCAACTACAACAACACCAACTGCAACACCAGCGACAATGACACTAGCGACAACAACACCAGTGACAACACCAACTGTGATACCAACAACAACACCAATGATGAAAGGCAACAAGTAGTCGACAAGCTAAATAAAAAAAAAATTAGTAAGCGAAAAAAGCAAAATAAAAAAAAATAATGATGATCTTATCTATCCAGATTTGGTAATAGTGTGGTGATGCAGAAGATCATTTGATTTGCATCGACAATCAGGTTTGGTTAATACATGATTCATATCACGTGATTTTGGCGCTCTTTGATTGATCAAAAGGCCAGAGATATATAAGTTATATATCACTGGTTAGAGATGTCTAGAATTTCCTATTAATTTAATAATTAAAAAATATTATATACTTACATATTTAATTTTTTATTTTTTTTTAATTTATTGTTTGTTTGTTTTTTAGATACTACTGTAGCTTCTTTATTTGAATCTTTTTTTGTCGTTGAATGATTTGAGTAAGTTAATTGAGATAGACTTTTTTTTCTTTTTTTTTTATACAAAAAATTTTTTTTTTTTTTTATTACTTCGGCAAGTCTAGACGTGACTTGGTTCAGCTATCTTTATAGTTGACCCTACACTACTAGTGTCACAGGACCTCCATAATCTCTATACGGGAATTATATGTATCCACCTGGGATCCATTGCCCGCTATTTCTCTGGTTCCCTCATTGGGGCCTAGATTCGACCGCCTGTACGACACTCTAGAGAGGTCAAAACATATTAATATTTAACTGGGATTTCACCAGCCAATCTGGTAGCACCACAAGTTCTTGTAGTATCTTCTCAGACTTTGGCCTCACAGTACATCTCATGACTTCGGTTATTCCAAATCGGGGTTCTAACACGCCTCGCTTCACAGCCACAACTTCTCAGAATAACTATTCCCTGAATACATCCATCCATAGATGTCCCGAGTTTCCTGTATCCTGCAGTGTTTCACTTCCATATTTGGGGTTTTATTATTTTGCCACTGGGAGGAATTGAACTGACAACCATCCGATTTGCAACCTGGGAGCATAACCGCTATGCTATCGACCCGCAGATCTATACAAAAAATTAAATTTATTATACATGTATATAATATTATATAATTATTATAAATTATATCTATTTAAATAAATATATATACCAATTATTTTGTTAGAATTCAAACTATGATTATTAAATCAATTTCAGATACTGCTTAAGAACCTTTATTAAAAAAAAATTATATTTCAAAATTTTATATATATTTTTTAAAAAACAATAAATAATTTTTACCTGAAGATTGCTGAGTATCATTATTATCTTCAATTATCATCTCACTTGAAAATTGATGAGTATCATTATTATCTTTGATTATAGTCTCACCAGAAGATTGTTGAGTATTATTATTATCATCAACTTCAATTATATTAAAAGATTGTTGAGTATTATTATTATTATTATCTACAATTTCACTAATAGGTAGTGCAAACCGAAATTTTCTATTTGGCTTATTGATTAATAGTAAACTACTTTTATCAAATAATTCAGTAGAAGATGAATTTTTATCTGATAAAGATTATTGAAGGTTATTATTATTAGTTGTATTTTTAGAAATAGTTTCTACTATAAAATATATAAAATATTTAATAATAATATAATATTACTTATTAAAAAATTTAAATAAAAAATAGATATTTTTACTCCAGTTTTCTAAAATATCTTTCAAAAGCTTTTGCAAAACAAAATCACTCACAAAAACAGAAAAGGTTGGAAAGTTCATTTTAAACTAAATAATAATAAAATTTTATAAAAAAGTTTTTTAAAATAAAATAAATAAATAAATAAATATATAATATTACTTTCTCTATAACTTTTTAAACAATTCCTTGTTCTTGTTTTGATGCATATTTTCCTTTTTGACAGCATGCATTTAACCAATCATGAAGATTTCTCTGTAAATTTATTAATGTTTTTAATGTTTATAAAAATAAATAAATATGTAAACATAAAACTAAGAATTAATTAAATACTTACTTGATAGGACCAATATGTATTATACAACAAGTTAAGAAAATCTTTCCAATCTTTGCCTTTATTTTTTTTACATCATCTCCATTCCTCTTTGGAATTGGGTTTTAAGCAGACCCACGTGGGAAATAAATTATTTAAAATTAGTATTATTATAAATTATTATTTAATAATATAATGATAAATACTTACCACTATATTGACAATTCCAATAATAGCATTAGATAGTACTGGCAAAGTAGTTTTAAGCATAGACGAACTTTGTTGCTGGCTTTGTGTAATAGTTGCAAGTGTTTGTTGTAAAGCACTTGGATTTGTTAATAATTAGAGCAATAAAGCAGTATTATTGTTGTCTATTTTGAGTAAATTTTAAAAAGTTTAGAATAAATAAAACAATAAAAAAAAATAAACGTTATTAAATATTTATATCAATTATTTAATTATTTATTATCACAAAGCTTAAGAGTCTAATTAATATATAAATTAATTAATTAATTAATTAATATTGATAATATATATTGAAAAAAAAAACGATTACTTGAACTATATTTTCTGAAAAAGATTTTACTGCAAGAAAAGACCTTACAAGCCAGCACTTGACCTAAAAACCTAGACAATAAGACAACACCTGTCGTTTAGAAATAGTTCTCATACGCTACTTGCCGACAGGTTTAGAGTTTATCACTCACTGCATAGTCTCAGCACTTGTTGTTTAGAGGTAGTTCTCATACGCTACCTGCCGACAAGCCTAGAGTTTATCACTTACCAGAAAAAAGGTTGAGCAGGTGTTAGGCAGTGGGTATTGACTGTAGAAAAGAAACTCACACTCCTTTAAATTGGTTTGAAGCTTAATTGGTCTCTCTTTACCTCTTGTCATTTTTCTGTTGGTTCCAAAAATTTTTTATAAAAAGTGGAGATTTGGCTTACCCCCTCCAAAAGATCGGCATTGTTTACTTACCAAACCCGAATAGACTAGTAGATAGCAACCATGTGTTTGGAGACGAATACATTGTACAGGCCCTGGAATGAGTCCTGGTCAAAAAAGAAATTCCTGGTAGCGGCACCAAGTGGCTTGAGATACGAGTACCCGAGTGATGGCACCTTTATGAAAATGTCGTATTCTTGTCGTCATTGGCGCCATATATGGAGAGTCAGATTTTAGTACTGCGGCAGCACTTGGTTTGAGATATGGTTTAGGTTATTAAAAAGATTTGGAATTGGGTCAGAGAGAATTTTAAGGTTAAGCTTAGACTTACAACAGAGATATACAGATGTTGCATCTGGTATATAATTTTTAAATCACCTGGCACAGGTTATAATAGTGTATTCGGATCGCTTAATTTTGTCTTTTTTCTACTTGTTTTATCTATTTTCATTTATATTAGAATCGGTTTAGGTTCCACTTTTCTTTTTTTTATTTGTTTCATTTTTTCTTTTGTTTATGTTTTCTTTTTTAGAACAAGTTTTATTTTTTTTCAGTTATGAGAGAGCTTTTAGAGAGTTTATTTAAATGTACCTTCCTTTATAATATTAGCATATATGGGACCCCCCATAGCAAAAGGGGGGATGGGCCAAAAAATTTGAAAATTTGTTCTTATGATAATTTTATTCTAATTAATTTGATTCTTCGAGATATTGAATTTTTTTAGAAAAAAATTTTTTGGCCCATCCCCCCCTTTTGCTGTGGGGGTCCCATATGTTAGTCTTATGTAGAAGTATGTATAATCAGCTAGAATTTAAGTAGATTGAGTTTGGGAAGATATTACCAAAATTTAAAGTAGGATAACTCGAAAGAAGAGATCGGCTTTTTAAGAAGTCTTTCTTTTGTAAAATGGCATATATGTTTGCGCTATGCAGAAGTAGAAAAAAAATATATTATGTCTGAACATTGGTAGAATAAGTCTAGAAGGAAGGTAAAATATAATCAGTTCGAACTTAGGTAGCTGAGTACCATGCTATAGCAGGTTTTTAAATATGGGTAGCACTGTATGTAGAGCTTGTTGGCAAATATCAGTGTAATAACCATACTTGGGCACTTTCATAGCAGCTGGGTAGTTGCCTAATACATAAATTAGATAGTTAATTTTGTAAATTACAAAAACTCTAATAAATTAGTACGAGGTTATTAAAGGAAAAAAAAAAATATTGATAATATATATTTGATAATATAAAAAAAATCACCTGAATGATCAAATGTAAGAACTAATTACAGATTCATAAATTGTTGTATATGAAAATGTAGTAATTGATATCATTTTGTAGCATGTGGTTTAGTGTTATAGTAGGTTGTATTAAAAATGCATAATATATTGTTTGATTGATAAAATCTTGATACGTATAATAAAATAAAATAATACTGCAGCAGTAATATCATGAATTTCAGTTGGTAAAAGATTAGAATTATATTAAATAATTAATATAATTAATTTAGCTATTTACAAACTCATATTTTTGCTATTAAAATCAAATTAAAAAGAAAGAAATTAAGTAATAACTATAAGAGAATAAAAGTATTTATATATAAATTTACTTGAAAATACTGCAGCTTGATATATATTCATATATTGAATTTCAGTTGGTAAAAGTAAGATTAGAATTATATTAAATAATTAATATAATTAATTTAGCTGTTTACGAACTCATATTTTTGCTATTAAAATTAAATTAAAAAGAAAGAAATTAAGAAGTAATAATGATAAAAGAATAAAAGTATTTAATATAATTAATTTAGCTATTTACGAACTCATATTTTTGCTATTAAAAAAATCAAATTAAAAAGAAAGAAATTAAGAATTAATAATGATAAGAGAATAAAAGTATTTAATATAATTAATTTAGCTGTTTATGAACTCGTATTTTTGCTACTAAAAAAAATTAAATTAAAAAGAAAGAAATTAAGAAGTAATAATGATAAGAGAATAAAAGTATTTATATATAAATTGACTTAAAAATACTGTGGCTTGGCATATGGTAAAGAGAAGAATAGATCTTTAAGGTTTTGAGTTTTCTGATCCAAGTAAAAAAAACTATAAACACCCTTATCAAATATAACTGCCTCTTTTGTGTAGATTATATAATATTTAAGTTTGTAGAATGATCGACTTGCTAGTATAATGATACCAAAACTTGTTTTTGCTATTATAATATACAAATATAATGTATAGTAGTATATTGTAAAGCAAAGAGAGAAAAACAAAAAGAAAAACAATAAAGAAAACAAGAAAGAATAATAAAAGTGAAAAAAAGAAAGAAAGAAAGAAAGAAATATTAGATTTGGTGAACTATGAATTCGTAATTTGCTAAATATATAAAAAATATATATAATATTTCAATGTAATTAAAAGAACTTTAAAGAAAGAGTAATAACATTAAAATTAGTGCCAAATATTTTTATATACTGTAGAATTATTTACTGATTAACGATATGATTATATCATTATAATATCATGTGCATATTAAAAAAATCACTTGATATTAACAGTTAAAAAATAATTAATAATTAATACAGTAATATTGATACATATTAAATACAATATATAGTTAATCTGAAAAAAACCTGATTAAATCTAGTCTATACATGTAAGTTAAATATTGTATATACGTATGTATATATGTATGTATGACAGATATTTATATAGATTTTTTTATTTTTTTTTAAATTTAGCAAAAATTGATTCATTTTTTCTTTACACTAAAATTAAATTGAACATACTATTTTGGTATTATTATAGAAAAACATAACTGAGTTGATTTCAAAAATAAGAATTGAATTTGAGACTAAGGCAGCAATTGACAAATAGAGTATTTAATCGATAGATAGAGTATCCAATCGATAAATAGAGTATCCAATTGATAGATAGAGTATTCAATTGATAGATAGAGTATCCAATCGACAGATGGAGTTTCACAGCACAAGAATATTAAAATAGTTCACAATTGAATAAAAAACATCTTTAAAGATGTAATAGAAAGAGTGGGTGGTTATAAATTCTATGTATGAGGTGGGGCACATTAGGGACTCTTTAATCTAGCATCTAACTGGCAGTTTATTTTATGATAATTATAAATTATTTTTAGCGAACTATGATTTTGTATTTCGCTAAATTAAAAAAAAACTATTATTACCTAATTATCAAAGGTATTACATATAGTATTTTATATTTAATTAATGTAACACTGTAATAAATATGGAATATATCAAGCATGTGTCAGGTATATTAATGGAATCCATTAAAAAAATTGGCAAGACTCATATTTTTTGAGATCTGGTTAGATAGTGTAAGAAAGATTAAAAGTTGTTGAAGTGATAGATATATAAAATTCTTCAGCTTTAGCAAGGTATAGACTTATATATCATAAAGTCTTGCTAAATAATTATTATTATTTAAATAGAAACTTTTTTTTATCTCACCTGTGTGCAACTTTCAAGGTATACATTTTTTTTTTTTTTTTATTAATATTAATGTCATATATTTTTTACAAAGTATCACATGAATACATAATAGTTAATCAGATAAATTTTCTATAAACATCTAATTTGATATGACATTACACCTCCAATTTTTTATTTTAAAACTAATTTAAGTTAACAAGACTACTATTAGCTAAAGAAAGACTGTGAGAAAACCTTGTTTAATATAAAATAGTAAGGTATATATATATTTAGATTGAAATGGTTTTAATAGGGCTAAAGAAATATTGTAAGAAAAGTAATAATAATAATAAGAGTTAAAGTTAGTGAAAAAGAAAAAT